CACTAGATGCAGACAAAGCATTTGACAGTATTCAATATCTATTTATGATAAATAAAAACTCTCAGTAAAATCACTATAGAAGGAAAGTACCTCAACACAATAAAGGCTTTATAGGACAAATGATTTGTTGTTCCACACAGCTAAGATACCAATGATGAAAAACTGAAAGCTTTTCCTCTAAGATCAGGATGCCCACTCTTACCATTTTTATTCAACATAGTATTGGAAGTCCTAACCAGAGTAATTAGACAAGAGAAAAAAATAAAAGGCATCCAGATTGGCAAATAAGAAGTAAAACTGTCAATACTTGTGGATGGCATGACTTTATAAATACAAAACCCTAAAGATTCCACCAAAAAATTATTAGAAATAATAAACAAATACAATAAAGTTGCAGGGTACAAAACAATAAAAAAAAAACCTCTTGTTTCTATACATTAATGACAAAAATAAATTAAGAAAGCAATTTCATTCACAATCACAACAAAAAGAATAAAATCCCTAGGAATAAATTTAACCGAGGAGTAAAAGATCTGTTCGGTAAAAACTATAAGACATTGTTGAAAGAAAGTGAAGATGACACAAAGAAATAGAAAGATATTTCATGCCTGATCTTCATTGAACTAGGGTAGACTCCAAGCTTTGGATTAGATTTAGGTTTGCCCCATAAGTCTTCATCTTTCTCCTGGGCCAGCAGTTATGCAACTACTCAGCACTTGTTATTCTTGTGGAAGAGCCTAAGAATACAAAAGGATGAATAGATCAGAGTAGCACAGAGGCCCGATCTATGCCACACTGACACTTCCACTTATTCCATTGTCCAAGCAAGTACATGGCCAACATCAATGGGATGTAGAACTTACTCCAGCCAGCAGCGGAATACAATGCAGAAACCTTGGCAAAGAGCACAGGGGCATAGTTCTAATATAGGAAGAAAGCAGAGCATTGAGAACAACAATTCAATCTACTTGAGTGACCTTGTAAGAAATATTTCTGAACAGTAACTGTTATCTGGGAGAAGGAGGAGTATAAAGAGGTAAATAGACATAAACCCTTTTTAAAACAAAAATGGGAAAGGAAAGTAGTGAGGGAAGGAGAAATGGATGGGAGAGGAAAGAAAAGTTCTAATTGGAAGTTGAAAACATTAGCAGCCAACAGACTCGATATTATATCAAAATAAGCATGGGTCTAATTTAAGGCAGTGGAGAGGGAAGAGAACTAAGAGTTACTGAAGACCTATTATATCCAAAGCACTCTTCTAGGCAATATCTATACCCTATACCATATAATTCTCACAACAACACTTGGGGTAGGCCCTACTGTCAGAATCCAAAGTCCCTTTTGGAAGGAGAGAACTGAACTGAAAAACATTTTAGAAATCAAATTTGTAAAACTTGTTGGCCTAACTAGATATGATGGTAAGTAAAACAGAAAGAGAAAAGATGCCTCCTAAGCATCGACGTGTCAATGGTGTGATGGTTCTCTGTTAACGGAGATGGGAAACACAGAGGGAGGGCTAGTCTGTGAACTGAAGGAGATAAATTTGTTTTTTACTTGTGTTGGTGATAGCTATAGGACATCTATGTGAAATAGCCTACAAACAAATGATTGCAAATTTGTGTCTTAGAGCACAAGAAGGGAAGCCAGTGCTGGAGAAACATCCCAGAAATAAAGACAAAAGCATTCCAAGCATTGAAATGGTATTAACAAAGATATGAATGTGTCTTGCACTGTTCATGTTCATGGGACAGTAGCAAGTTAACATACTGTTTAGACATACACACGTGTCTAATCATATGTATTAAGCTGCACATAGCAGAGCAGTGTGAGATTAGGTTGAAAAGATAAGTTTGTACCTGAGCACAGCTGTTCCAGAATGTTGGAATATGACATTTGGGCTTTTATCAAGGAGGAACCACTATAGGTTTTTGTGCAAAGGTTGACTTAAGAGCCTGAGTTTTTGGCAGAGTGATGGAGCAGCAGGTTACAAGATGGAGCAAAGGTGGCAGGGGGGAGGGGGGAGGCAAGTGGAAAGCTATTGCATTAGTTTTTGTAAATGCTAATGAGAACCTAAACAGGGTAGTGACAGTAGGAACAGAAATGAAGGAACAGATGGGAGAATTGCTTTGAAAGAAATTGTGGTGCACAGTAACCATTCTGCATATCATTAAATACGTGTCAAGTTAATTTTGTAACTTCATATGGCTCTAAAGGTTTCCTCTCTTCAGGTACGCAGAACCTTTATAATTTATTGGTCACCTGTTCATATGTTTTTTAAATTTTTATTGATTGCTTTCAGAGAGAGAGAGAGAGAGAGAGAGAGAGAGAGAGAGAGAGAGAAACATCGATTTGTTCCACTTACCTATGCATTCATTGGTTGCTTCCTGTATGTGCACTGATGGAGATCGAACCTGCAACCTTGGCATATCAGGACAATGTTCTAATCAGCTGAGCTACCTGGCCAGGGCCTATTCATATATTTTTAATTAAGAGTTATAATTTCCATGAGGGAGACACTGTAACTGCTTTCTTCTCTACTGTTTTCACAACATTCATCAGAATAGGCACTGACTAAATATTTTTGAATGAGTACATGAATGAATGCTGCCCCTGCACACATCAATGTAGCCATTTCCAGGTCCTCTTCACTCTTGCTCTCTACTCTGCCCGTCTCTCACAATCCCAGCAAATACTTCCCTCCCTCTCACCTCCTTAAGGATGGGCTTAGAGAACTTGCCTCATGGGAGTAACCAGATTAATGAGCAGTCAGTCTGCATTCCATGAGATACTGATGTGATTTTTTTCCTAATCCTGCCTTCAACTAAACTCAATTGATTCTCTCTTTATTAATTTTTAATGTTATCTCAAACATATCTAATAACTTTCCACTCATGTAAAATATTGAAAATTCAGTGCCAACCCATTGAAACCTCGTTTTATTTTATTTGCCCTTCACTCCCTACTTTAGGCTTTCCCCAGGGTAGTGGCACCTTCCTCTTTCCTTATTCTAAATTCCCTGGCACTGGGCAAGAAGGAGGGATCGTGGGAAAGGCAAACATTGTTATATTTAGGTTTGCTTTGCAGAGATCTGGTGGATATTGCTCGTTGGCTAACAGACCATCAACAACCTCTGTGTGGCAGATGGACATTGCTCTCTCAAAGAAGTGGTGTGTCACTTGGGTGACCTATGGGAACCCCACTGCACAGTCTCTGACATGAAATATCTGACTCTGCCCCAGCTGGATTCATCAGGACTCCCTAAGCTTGTCCCCAGTATCCACCACCAGGGTGGTCAGTTTCATGAATGACTGACAGCAATACCTCCCTGCCAGGCTGTTAATTTCAACTCCATTGAGTTCTCCTTCCTTCTTTCCCTTTCTCTGGTTATTTCCTCATGTCAACTGGGACAGCCAGGGATTTTCTGGGGCTGGGGTGTTGGTTCAAGTTAGCAGAGTTGATTCAACCACCTCTTGGTCCTGGAGAATACACTTAGCCCAATATTTTTGTAGCTCTCTCTAGAATATGAAGGTACTTCATACCTTTGAGCCTCTGCGTTGGGTCCTAGTCTTCAATCTTACACATACATAACCCTGAGCAGTTATTTACATTTGTAGCTACTTTGGTATAAACACCGAGCTAAGTGTTACCCAAACAAACATTGAATGAGTAGCTACAACCGGTTAGTCCATGTAAAAGTGATATACAAAAGCCAGATGCAGTTCAGACTCTCATGCAAATAATAAATTACACTGTGACTTTAAAAATAGAAGACATTTAAACCTCAAAATTAAAAATAGACTGGGGAGGGAAACAATGGAGAAAAAGGTGAAAAAGTAACTTTAAAATGAAGGAGTAAGGAGCATCTTAAAAATGAGAACACTGCATAGTGACAGAAAGCCTAACATGTTTAAGATTAAAATCTGAAACCCTGACTCCCAGGCTAATCTTTTCTCTGCTCACAAATCAGTCATATAGATTTCCATTAATATTTATCTCCTTGAGTCTGAAGGAAGAGGAAAATCTATTTTGTATGCTGCCCTGTTTTTGCTGTTCCCATCACAAATTCACTGAAGGATCACAGCAGGTTGATGAGGTACCAACTGTCCTTAGTAGCAGAAGTATCAGATATATACAGTGTGGCATGCGAAGCAGCACACATCTTGGAAGTGAGTTCCTTCAAGAACCACAAATTCAACTAAAATTCCAGATAAAAGCTAAAGGACTGGAATAATCCATACAGAATTTTAAACCCAGAAGTTTCTCTTGCTGAAATTATTTTCACACTCCAATTTAAACTCAGAAACATTATGCTGTTGTCACACTTCTTTGTTCTCCTAAAGTAAAAAATAAGTAAATAAATAAAATCTGTATATAGCTGATGAAAAATAGAAACCTGTCTGCCAGTAAGTTCTCTGTTCATGTCTAACATACTGTGGAATCAATGTAGAACACGTGGTCTTTAAACACTGAAAAGCCTTTCTTTGCAGACCTAGCACAGCAGTGTTTTTCTCCAGTACGTTTGCAATGCCTACCATACATGTCTTGCATACGGATGAATTCCTTTGGTTGTTTCAGGCAAGTCATACAGTATTTTCACATGCTTTGATGTTGTGCATATGAGAAGTATCGTCCACATTTTGGGAATGCGATCCCTTTTGCCTTCAGCATTGCATTTAATGCCGCATGACTAACATCATTTGAAATTCCATCCGACAGAATGCCAATAATGTCTATAACAGAAGTTCAACATATTTAGTTCTCTCAAATATGGAGGTGATGTAGCAGCTAAATTGGAAGGTTTGGGGTGCGTATTTTTAAATTAATTCAGCGTGAAGATTATTAGTGAATTAGAATTGTGCATAAAATATTTCGATTTTCTTCATTTCCTTACCCAGAAAAATCTCTTGCTTCCTATCAGATAAGTTTCCAAGAGGCATCCTGTTTTGGGGACACAAAGTATACAGATTAAAGTAATCTTAATTCACGTTTCTTAATTGCAGATGAGACCCATTGGCCATGATGGCTATCATCCCACCTCTGTCGCCGAGTGGCTGGATTCCATCGAACTAGGTGACTACACCAAAGCCTTTCTAATCAATGGCTACACGTCAATGGACCTGTTGAAAAAAATCTGGGAGGTTGAGCTTATTAATGTAAGTTGGTCTCTTAAAGATGCCTTAGTCATTCAACCCTTGATAAATGAAGTTCTTATTGTACACAAGTAATTTTTTTTCTTTCTTTATAAATGTTCGGACATCCAAGGATTTACAGACATGCCTTCTGGTTTTAAATATACATCTCTCTTGGCTCCAGTCAAGTTCCACAGTCACGGTCTTTTGCAGTTTTGAGGTGGGAACTCAAAGGACTCTCAGGGTGTTTTGCATTATCTCAGAAAACTTTCCAAGCACTTTTGGATTTTCCAATTTAGGAAATTTTATCAGTTTAGGGTATGGATGTGATAACGAATAGGCTCCTATTTTATCTTTGCTCAAATTTATTGCTAAAGAGGAAAGTTATAATTTTTGGTTGAATATTATGATTCCTTGACTCTACTCCTTAATTGCATTATAAGAGACTGCTTTTGTCCATACTAAATAGGCTGCTGTAATATCAAAATTTTATTTTCCACAGCTTATATCTAATCTTGTCTTCATTTTATTCATACACATGGCATAGGTTTTCTATAAAAATTGGCCAACATATGTTGCCATGTATTTGAGTCCAAAGAGATCGACTGAATGTACATAGGTATTTTTGTTACTGACACTTCTCTCATTTTATTTTTACTGCGGTTTCATTTCTAATAGAATAAAGGGATGACAGAGATAAAAAGATATTATATAATGATCATGTCTTTGCATTACATTTGGAATCACGAACACTTCTTCTTAAATGTGAATGTGAAATCATTTAATTTTTTAAAGGATTTATTAGATTTAAGTTCTGTAGTCTAATAACTGAAAACGTATTCAGAAGCTGATCAGTAAAGCAGGTGAATTTCTGCTGGTTCAAAAGTGATCTGTTCTACTCTCTATTCCACATTGTCTCCAAAAGTCCGGTCTCGACATAATACACGTCACTAATTATATTAAATGATGGCCATTAGTAGTGACTGATTATTCTTCGCTTTTAAATGTCTGTCCTAAAAATAATACCTTTTCTGGAACATCTCATAAAAACTGTTCTTTAATCTAAAAAAAAAAAAACACCCACTTTCAATGGACAAATTCTTGGCTCCTTCTAATTGGCCATCTTCTCCTCTTAGCTTTCTGTGCTCATCCCTCACAAAAGCGATCATTATTTCAGAAGAAGCTTACTGACTAAAAGCCTCTGATTAATTTTGCTCTTAGTCTGTATGGCAGTGTAACTAGCTGAAACTGTGCTGCTTTTTTAGTTGCATCAAGCCGATTTCAGTTCTCCACTGAGAACTCAATACTCATATTACGGCTACTCTTAGCCTTTTGTTAAAGGGGTACCTTCCATAGATCAAACAAGCGTGCTTCCAATTAAGTTGCATTTAAGCCAACGATATAATTGACAAATATCTCTATGTAGCATCTTCTGAATAAGGCTGCTCCCCACTGAAGAACAGACATGGTAGATAGCATAGGAGTCACTCACCTAACAGGCTTTAGCACCAATCCCTCATTGAAAAAAAAAATGGATTCCAATAGAACTTGACTATAAAATGTGTGAAGCAAGTATCATTGAAGCAAGACTATACTCTCTCAAAATCCAAATGCTGAGACTAGTGTTTTGGACCCACACCTTCCTCAGTGCTGGAGACACCAGTGGCCCAGAGATCCCTGGTCAGTCCCTGTGGCCAGGCATTATGGACAGCTACAATGCCTGCAGGGTCAGTGGTGCCAGAAAGTTTACCGCCAGGGTCAGGGACTGATCCACCACCACCCATGGGCCAGCCAGCCCTGAGTTGGGACTGTCTCTTTAAGGGTTTTCCCTTTAGCTGCATTTTCTGTAACGCAATCTGACTTTAATCTGGAGAGCAGAAGTGCCACAAGCGTTGTATCAGAATCGGAAAACATAGTCACTGTGATTGAGACCTTGAGGCCTAATTTCTCCAGCCTGGAGTATAGCATCTGCATCTAACACCAACCTTTTTCCTTGTTTCATTTAAATTAATTTATTGTCCTTAAAATAAATTGGTAAAACTTAAAGTTCCTTGTGACATCTTTACAGGCAAGTTTGCACTCTTGAAGGAGGCTTTGCAAATCATTTCTCTCAGTAGATATACTGATTATGGACAAACGCTGTTCTGTACTTTCATGCTTGGAAATCAGAGAACAAAATGTGTCCATGAGAGCTGCTGTGTAAGAGTCGTTCTTTGAGTGGTTTAGGGTTGTTGGCTTACGAAGCTTTTGACTGGTCTCAGAGTCAAGACTTTTATTTATCTCAACTAATGAGGGAAGGCATCCAAATATAAGAAAACATCTTGTATAATATACTAGAGGCCCGGTGCATGAAAATCATGCAGGGGTAGGGTGCCTAGGCCTGGCCAGTGATCAAGGCCGATCTGTGGGGCAATCAGGGGGGTGCCCTGCTGGCACCCACCTTGGCTGGCTTGGGGCCTGAGGGCTGGGGACAGCTTCTGCGTTGAACGTCTGCCCCCTGGTGGTCAGTGTGTGTCATAGCAACTGGTTGTTCTGCCATTCGGTCGATTTGCATATTAGGCTTTTATTATATAGGATGGGCCTTGTAATTCTATATTAAGTACCCATTGTTGTGTTTTAGCCTGAAGAGAATGTACAGTCACCTTGAATGAGAGCAAAGCAATTTGGGAAATTCACATCTTGAATCTTGGTGCTGACTGGCTAGTTTGAAGGAAACGAAGTGACCCCAATAACTGTGGTTCTGTGTAAACTGAAGAGAGAAGTGCAAGTGTAGACTAACTTTGAGACAGGGGCCTGCTGGTGGAGGGAAAGAGGATGAGTATGAGGAGGATGACTGCTGATATGATTACAAGTAACTGCAGCATCACTACGTAGTATTGACTAAGCCTCCAATTTCACATGGTATTACGCTTGTTAGTAAATCATACTGTCTCAGTGGCATAATAAGCTTATTCAAAGTATTTCCAGGATGAAATGAAAACTATACAAAGTTGTGAGTTAACAAGCACAAATACGTTTGAAATTATAATCTTTCTAAAAGTGTCCAAAGATCTTCTTCTTGGTGGAGTACATTCTTGCCTTTGAAAAACAAGGTTATTTGAGTAATTTAATAAGGGTTTTGGTCACAAAGCTACCCAAGTATAGGGATTAGGGAGAGTGTTAGAAATCTCATGTCTTAAAACCACCATTGTCTGCAGGGGAAATAAAGCACAAAGAAACTTTTAAGACATCAGGTATTGTCAATTTTACAGGCCCCTATGTATCTAAACATAGAAAATGTCCTTTATACCAATAATTGTTCCCGAATCCATGCTTTATATTCAGAAACCGATTTTTTTTATCAATATCTCTGTTTTGCCCCTGTGTCTGCCACTATCATTAATAGCATCATTAACATCGCTTTTACATGATATTTTATTGTTAAAACTAGAGGCCCAGTGCACAAAAATTTGTGCACTTGGGGGGCAGGGGAGGGGGGGTCCCCCAGCCCGGCCTGTGCCCTCTCGCAGTCTGGGACCCCTCGGGAGATAACGACCTGCTGGCTTAGGCCT